TTTTTTAATTTAGCCTGGAGTCGTATAAACTTTCTGTCTAGCCCATTAGTCGTCCATCATCTTCTGTTCATAGTTTTGACAGGCTGACGGAATGGTCTTGATCTCTGTTTCTCTGTTGAAAAATATAACGGACGACAGGCTCAGATCTTTTCTTCAGGGTTCATACTTGCAGTACCTTTCTAGACTAAACCGCCTTAAGGAGCTCTGTAAATCTCATTTATCATTGCCTCGTTGGCCTACCGTTTTGGATTGATGGCGCTGGCCACAATAATTACTTTAACGGCCTCCATAACTGTGCAGGAACATGCATTTCGTCGTACTTCCCCCCGCTACGTGAAAAGTGTAAGAATATGTAAGAGCCAAAAAAGCGTTTTCTGCTGCAACAAATAACGCCAGCATCAAAGCAGTACTTAAAATAAACCTGAAGAAGACAGGTCATGTTCAACAAATACTCGATACTGCGACCTGTTGAAGTCAACATGCTTAAACTTGAAGAATTGCAGAACTACCTGTATCTGGAACAGCTTGTATCTGCAGCGGAGAACCGACTGCTGTAAAGGCAGTAGAACAATAAAATTGGCATAGCGCACTTTTAAAAGACTGATAGTGTTACTAACCGGAAAACTGCCTTTGTGCTTGAAACGAAATTTTCGATCAGTGTATACTCTCATTGCTGCCCCATTGGTACGAAGAGTGAACCCTCAGCCTGAAATTTATTCGTTAATTGCAGACCACGCAACACAGTATGGAAAAATATATCTTGGGAATAATAAGAAAGGATAAAAAATGAATGAATGGGTAAAAGCACAAGGGAGAGTCTGCGGTGTCACTGTTAAGGTGAAAAAGTTAAAATCGTTATAGAAAGGGGATATTGCTACGAGAATTGATCATTGCTGGACCAGAGCGACATTAGAGTGGGCTTCAGGAGGGAGTCAGTGGCTCATAGGAGGACCTCCATATCGATGACAGAATGAATTTATGAAGTTCCCTGGATCATGATGATGAATATTGGCAGAAAACAGAAGTCTAAGGCCTTGAAGAGGCCTTCATCTAAAGCCTTGAAGAAGCTGAAGTGGGATTAACCTGCGATTTTTCTGACATTCAATTTCGTGTTACTTGTGAGCGACAGATAATTGCGGATTTCGACGACAGGTTCAAATTTGTGAATTCAGCGTAAGGTACCCCATATCCTCCGTTTGCCAGTTGCTCTGAACTGCTCTTACCAGAGATAATTGTTTCAAATTAAACCTGCATCGAGATAACGATCATGGTTTGTGTTGGCAATGCTAATATGAATCCTACACGCGCTCCGGAAAACTGTAAAATCCCGCTTCCTTTTTTCTTGTACGGCGAAGTTCGACGAGGCGCATTCTCTCACCGCTCCGTGTCCTGTTTGTGCTGTCCTCTTAAAAAGTTGCCGGAAAGAGTTGTTCTCATTCTCAGTTTTTTCTCGCAGCTTCCGGTAATTTTTTTCCATTGCACTGTGACTCGCCGGTTCATGTGACCATAAATAAGTTATTTTCTCGTGCCAGTTACGTTGTGTACAACGGCCAAATGCGTCAAAATCCGTTGTCGGTTGTCCGTAGTCATTCATCCATATTAAGCGTTTCGCGTACGCGTTTCCGTGAATTGAATAAGCGTTTGCAAATTTGCTTCATTCCACAAATCGACCAGCGCGAAAGTTATAGAAATAGTACAATGAGGTTCGATTAGGCGGCGGTGCCTTTGCCTCTCTGATTTGCGTACTCGAGATGCTTCTCCGGCTATAAAATGGCCGAAATGCTTCGCACATATTAAAATGACACTGATGTGAATCACTTCGGTGCATACAATTTAA